TTCTATTCTACTCTGTTTTGGAGTATATACACCAACTCAATATTCTCTCTCATGTAAAATACAGAAATTCCAATTTTACGCGAATCGAAAAAAATCTAAATATTATCTAGGCACCCCAATGTTAAAAGAAAATGATTCTGAATATAATCTGTCAGGAAAAATATACAATGCCCTTTTCTACTCTGTTTTGGAGTATATACACAAACTCAATATGCTCTATCATGTAAAATACTGAAATTCTAAATTTACGCGAATCGAAAAAAATCTAAATATTATCTAGGCACCCCAATGTTTAAAGCAAAATTGTCCTGAATATAATCTGTCTAAGAAAATATAAAATGCCTTTTTCTACTTTCTTTGGAGTATATACACCAACTCAATATGCTCTCTCATGTAAAATACCAAAATTCTAATTATACGTGTATCGAAAATAATCTAAATATTATCTAGGAACCCAAATGCTAAAAGCAAAATTGCTCTGAATATAATCTGTCAGAAAAAATATACAATGCCCTTTTCTATACTTTTTTGGAGTATACACACCAACTCAATATGCTCTCTCATGTAAAATACCGAAATTCTAAGTATACGCTTATTGAAAATAATCTAAATATTATCTAGGTACCCCAATGTTAAAAGCAAAATTGCTCTGAATATAATCTGTCAGATAAAATATACAATGCCCTTTTCTATACTTTTTTGGAGTATATACACCAACTCAATATGCTCTCTCATGTAAAATACCACAACTCTAAATTTACGCGAATCGAAAAAAATCTAAATATTATCTAGGCACCCCAATGTTAAAAGAAAAATTGCTCTGAATATAATCTGTAAGAAAAAATATACAATGCCCATTTCTACTCGGTTTTGGAGTATATACACCAACCCTATATGCTCTCTCATATAAAATACCGAAATTCTAATTTTACGCGAATCCAAAAAAATGCAAATACTATTTAGGCACCCCAATATTAAAAGAAAATGGCTCTGAATATAATCTGTCTGAAAAAATAAACAATGCTATTTTCTACTCTGTTTTGGTGTATATACACCATCTCAATATGCTCTCTCATGTAAAATAACAAAATTCTTAATTTACGCAAATCGAATGAAATCTAAATATTATCTAGGCACCCCAATGTTAATAGCAAAATTGCTCTCAATAGAGTCTGTCAGAAAAAATATAAAATGCCCTTTTCTACTCTGTTTTGGAGTATATACACCAACTCAATATGCGCTCTCGTGTAAAATATCGAAATTCTAATTTTACACGAATCGAATTAAATCTAAATATTATCTAGGCACCCAAATGTTAAAAGCAAAATTGCTCTGAATACAATCTATCAGAAAAAATATACGATGCCCTTTTGTACTTTGGAGTATATACACCAACTCAATATACTTTCTCATGTAATATATCAAAATTCTAAATTACCACAAATTGAAAAAAAACTAAATATTATCTCAGCACCCCAATGTTAAAAGCAAAATTGCTCTGAATATAATCTGTCTGAAAAAATATACAATGCCCTTTTCTACTCTTTTTTGGAATATATACACCAACTCAATATGCTCTCTCATGTAAAATATCGAAATACAAAATATACGCGAATCGAAAAAATTCCAAATATTATCTAGGCACCCCAATGTTAAAATAAAATTGCTCTGAATACACTATGTCAGAAAAAATATACAATGCTTTTTTCTACTCTGTTTTGAAGTATATACACCAACTCAATATGCTCTCCCATGTAAAATACCAAAATTATAATTCTACACGAACCGAAAAAAATTTAAATATTATCTAGGCACCCCAATCTTAAAAGCAAAATTGCTCGGAATGTAATCTGTCAGAAATAATATACAATGCTTTTTTCTACTCTGTTTTGGAGTATATACACCAACTCAATATGGTCTCTCTTGTAAAATACCGAAATTGTAAATTCACTTGAATCGAAAAAAATCTAAATATTATCTAGGCATCCCAATGTTAAAAGCAAAATTGCTCTGAATATAATCTGTCATAAAAAATATACAATGCCTTTTTCTACTCTGTTTTGAAGTATATACACAATCTCAATATGCTCTATCATGTAAAATTTCGAAATTATAAATTTACGCAAATCGAAAGAAATCTAAATATTATCTAGCCACCCCAATATTTAAAGCAAAATTGTTCCGAAAATAATCTGACAGAGAAAATATACAATGCCTTTTTCTACTCTGTTTTGGAGTATATACACCAACTCAATATGCTCTCTCATGTAAAATACAAAAATTCTAATTCTACGCAAATCGAAAAAAATCTAAATATTATCTAGGCATCTTAATGTTAAAAGCAAAATTACTCTGAATATAATCTGTCAGAAAAAATATACAATGCCCTTTTCTACTTTGTTTTGGAGTATATACACCAACTCAATATGCTCTCTCATGTTAAATACCGAAATCCTTACATTACTCTAAGTATCTCATAAAGTGCACAAGACCCCCATGATGTTGTATTTAATAACTAGGGGATTACAGATGACATTACTCACGATATGACTGCGGCTGTTTGCCGGTACTGTGATAATGTTTCTAATATCCAGAGAAGGACAGGAGAATGTTTCTGCCCATAGGAAAATCCTCTGAATACGGCAAGAGGAGTACACCGTTCTGTGATATGGTCACTAATGTAAACAAGAAAACAATTATATTGAATTAAATATTGAAAGGTGTTAACCCCCCCTATAATTTTCCTTCTAATTTCAAGGGGTTGAGGAGGACATTTTTGTCAAAATGGCGGAGGTGTAACTACAGCTATTGCCTACTATATAATAATAAAGGATAAAATTATTATTTACATGTGATATGATTGCCAGTATCATATTACACCACATTTTCAAAATATTTGGGCCCCAGCAGCTGTGGGCATGGCAGCCAAGCGAGGGTGTCCCTATGCAACCAGGTTGGGCTTTGCAGCTGCTACGGTCCCTTTGTGGTTTGTCTGGTGGCTGCTACGGGCCCTCTGGCGGTGGCTGTGGTAACAGCCACATAGCCAGAGGGTCTCTCAGCAACCACGGAGGGCCTGGCGGCTGCTACTGACACTCTGGCAGAGGCTATGGGCACAGCCACCTAACCAGGGGGTCCCTACATAGCCAGGGTGGGGCTGGAAGCTGCTATAGGCCCTTTGGCGGGAGGTGTGGGGATACCCTGCTCTTCACAGGTACACAGTTTGCACCTATTTCTACATGTGTAGATCGTTTACATAATGGGCACATATTTGTACACATGTACATATGTTATTATCACAATAAACATATATGTACATAATATGTGTACAATAAATATGTACTTTATACGTACCTAATATAAACAATATGTACTTTTTGGTGATATTGTGATATCTACATATTATTGATTATATATCTTATTGTGATAATATGTATGTTACCACTGAAATGTTTAGAAATGTACAGAGTACACTTTATGTACCTATGCATTGTGTACACATTATAGAAATAAATAGGTACATATTTTACAGATGATGTACATTTTTTCTACATGTGTATTTTGTACACATATGTACAGCAGAGTAAATGTACAGACTATACCTATTTTATACATTTATTGTGATATGTCAATAAATGTACACATTATAAGTACATTCTGGGATATAATTTTTAGCATATTAGATAGGAATTACACCGGTGACCAAAGTGGGTTTACACCCAGGTGCGCACATAGTTTATACATGTACATGTTGTGCATATTATGTACTCATGTACAGAATGTACATGTCTGCATTATATATACATAGGTGTACGCAGCATACATATGTACATACTGTGCACACATATGTACACGTGCATATATTGTACATCTGTACATAATGGGTACATGATGTACATGTGTACACATCATATCACAATAAATGTAAATATACATAATGTTTGCAATATGTACGTTTATATTATGTATTACGTTTATTGTGATTATATATGCTGTTGTGATATGATATCATTGTGACATTACAAATGTACATATTATACACATTATGCCCCTATGCATTGTGCACAGATTATAGAAATAGAAACATATTTTACAGGTTATGTACATTTTATTTACTTGTGTATTGGGTACACAGAGTAAATGTACAGATCTTACTTACTTTATACATTTATTGTGATATGCCAATAAATGTACACATTATGAGTACATTCTGTGATATTACATTTAGAATATAAGATAGAAATTACTCTGGTTACCAAAGTGGGTGTAAACTTATGTGTGCACATACTTTGTACATGTACATACTGTGCATATTATGTACTTGTGTACAGAAGGTAAATATCTACATTATATGTATGTATGGGTACAGAGCGTACATATTTACATACTATGTACATATATCTACACCTGAATTTATTGTACATCCGTACATAATGGGTCATGCTGTACATGTAAACACATCGTCATACCACAATAAATGGAAATGTACATAATGTGTGAAATACGTACATTTATATTATGTATTACATGTGTATTGTGATTGTATATGCTGTTCTGATATCATTGTGATATTACAAATGTACATATTGTACACATTATGTACATATCTATTGTGTACATATTATGTACACATAAATGTACATATTGTACAGATTATGTATATTTATTGTACATCTGTATGGTGCACACATATGTACATCACAGTCAACGTACATATGGTACATATTCTGTGCATTGTTTGTAATATTTCAGTAAGAGTACACATTATAAGTATATTCTGGGATATGATTTTTAGTATGTTAGATAAAAATTACTTTCAATATCAAAGTGGGTATACACTTATGTGTGTCCATTTTGTGATATTATCCATCATATCCTGAGTAGGTATTTCTCTCATTGTGAAAGCAGGTTTACACTCTCGGATTGCTCCAATATCAAGGCAAACTACAACTGTGATGTAGTTAATAATATCCTGAGGACAAAGGATGACCATATCCTGAATATCGCAGGAAGTGTACACCACCACTGTAGTATTGTTTCTAATGTTCAAAAACGGAAAGGATATTACTCCAAATATCTCAGAAAGCACACAAGCCCCCCGTGATATTGTTTCTAATAACTAGAGAATTACAGATGACATTACCCACGACGTGACTGGGGCTGTACTCCGGTCCTGGAATATTGTTCCTAATATCCAGAGAAGGAGAGGAAAATGTTGCTGCCCATAGGGAAATACTCTTAATACGGCAAGAGGTGTACACCATGCTTTGATATGGTCACTAATGTAAGCAAGAAAACAATTACATTGAATTAAGCATTGCAAGGAATGAAACTCCCCTATGATTTTCATTCTAATGTCAATGGGGGTGAGGATGACATTTTTGTCAATATGGCAGAGGTGTAACTGGAGCTATTGCCTAATATACAAAAAAACAGAATAAGATTATCATTTTTATATAATATGGTTGCCAGTATCATATTACACCTGATTTGCAAAATAGCTGGGCCTCAGCAGCTGTGGGCAGAGCCCACAAGCGAGGGGACCCCTAAGCAGCCGGGGTGGGCCTGGGGGCTGCTCTGGGCTTTTTGGTGGGGTCTGTGAGCACATGGACCCAGCCAGGGGTCCCTGAGCAGCCATGGTTGGCCTGGGGGCTGCTACGGGCACTCTGGCATGGGCTGTGGGCACAGACACCTAGTCAGGGGGTCCCTAAGCAGCCAGGGTGGGCATGGGGGCTGCTACAGGCATTCGAGCAGTGTTTGTGGGCACAGCCCAATTGCCAGGGGGTCTCTAAGCAGCCAGGCTGGGCCTGGGGGCTGCTATAAGGGGGGCTTTGGTAATAGCGTGCTGTGCATCGGTACATAGTTTGCACCTATTACTACATGTGTAAATAGTTTTAATATGGGGCATATATATGTACATGCATACATATGGTATTATCACAATAAATTTATATTTACATAATATGTGCAAAATACATATGTACCGAATGCATACCTAATGTGTACAATATGTACTTTTTTGTAATATTAGACAATATATATTACTGTGATTATATATCTTATTGTGATTAAATATATTTTATCAATAATATTTTAAGGAATGTGCATAGTGTACACATTATATACCTATGTATTGTGTACACAATATAGAAATATATAGGTACATATTTTACAGATTATGTACACTTTTTCTACATGTGTATTGTGTACACCTATGCACAGCAGAGTAAATGTACAGACTGTACCTATTTATACATTTCTTGTGATATGCCAATAAATGTACACATTATGAGTACATTCTAAAATATAACTTTTACCATATTAGAAATTACTCCATTGACTAAAGTGGGTGTACACCCAGGTATGTACATAGTTTATACGTGTACATATTGTGCATATTAGGTACTCATGTACAAAATGTACATGTCGACATATGTATTTATGTGTAGTGTGCAAATGTACATACTGTTCACACATATGTACATGTGCATATTTTGTACATGTGTACATAATGGGTGCATGTGTACACACCGTGATACCACAATAAATGTAAATGTACACGATGTGTGCAATATGTACATTTATATTATGTATTACTTGTGTATTGTGATTTTATATGCTGTTGTGATTATATGATATTGTAATATTACAATAAATGTACATATTGCACACATTTCATACATACCTATTGTGTACACATTATGTACCTGTAATTGCACATATTGTACAGATTATGTACATTTTTGGTACATCTGCATTGTGTACACATATGTACATAACACTCTATGTACATATGGTATGTATTCTGCACATTGATTGCAACATCTCAATAAGTGTACACATTATGAGTATATTGTGATATATGATTTTTAGTATATTAGATAATTTCTTTCTATATCAAAGTGGGTATACACCCATGTGTGTCCATTTGTTGATATTATCCATCATATTTTAAGTAGGCATTACTCTCATTTTGAAAGCAAGTGTTCACTCTGTGATTGTTCCAATATCACAGGCAAAGTACAAGGCTTCTTTAATGTACTACCTAATATCCTGGGGACAAAAGATTATTATACCCTGAATATCGCAGGAAGTGTACACCACCACTGTAGTATCGTGTCTAATATCCAAAAACGGAAAAGATATTACTCCTAGTATCTGATAAAGCACACAAGACCCCTGTGATATTTTTTCTAATAACTAAGGGATTACAGATGACATTACTCACGATATGACTGGGGCTGTCCGCCGGTCCTGTGATATTGTTCCTAATATCCAGAGAACGAGAGAATAATGTTGCTGCCCATAGGCAAATCCTCTGAATACGGCAAGAGGAGTACACTGTGCTCTGATATGGTCACTAATGTAAACAAGAAAACAATTATATTGAATTTCACATTGCAAGGGGTGAAACCCCCTTATGATTTCAATTCTAATGTCCAGGGGTGTGAGGATGACATTTTTGTCAATATGGCAGAGGTGTAACTAGAACTATTGCCTAGTATATAAAAACCCAGAATAACATCATTTCCATATGATATGGTCGCCAGCATCATATTACACCACATTTTCAAAATAGCCGGGCACAGCGCCCTAGGCAGGGGGTCCCTAAGCAGCCAGCGTCAGCCTGGGAGCTGTTACGGGCCCTATGGCGGGGAATGTGGTTACAGCTCCCTAGCCAGGGGGTCTTTAAGCAGCCAGGGTGGGCCTTGGGGCTGCTACGAGGGGGGCTGTGGTAATAGCCTGTTCTGCACAGGTATATAGTTTTAATAATGAACACATATTTGTGTAAGTGTACACATGGTGTTATGATAAATATATATGTACATATGTGCACAATACATATAGACCTAATGCGTACCTACTGTGTACAATATGTACTTTTTTGTGATATTACATGATATATATATATATTACTGTGATTATATGCGTTATTTTGATTATATCTATTTTATCACTGATACTTTAAGGAATGTGCATAGTGTACACATTATGTACCTATACAATGTTTACACATTATAGAAATATGTAGGTACATATTTTACAGAGTATGTACATTTTTTGTACATGTGCATTGTGTACACATATGTACAGCAGGGTAAATGTACAGATTGTACCTATTTTATACATTTATTGCAATATACCAATAAATGTACACACTATTGCTACATTCTGAATTATTATATTTTGTATATTGATAGAAATTTCTCCGGTTACCAAAGTGGTTGTACACCCAGGTGTGTACATAGTTTATATGCGTACATATTGTGCATAGAATGTGCTCGGGTACAGAAGGTACATATCTACATTATATGTACACATGTGTAGTGTACATATGTACATACTGTACCCACATATGTACACTTGCATATATTGTGCATCTGTACATAATGGGTACATGATGTACATGTTTACATATATCACAATAAATGTAAATGTACATGTTTGCAATGTGTACATTTATATTGATATTACATATTACATGTGTATTGTGATTTTATATGCAGTTGTGATTATATAACATTGTGATATTACAATAAATGTACATATTGTACACATTATGTACATACCTATTGTGTGCACATTTTGTACATATATTCGTACAAATTATACAGTTTATGTACATTTATTGTACATCTGTATTGTGTACATGTATGTACATTACAGTCAATGTACATATGTTACATATTCTGTACATTGAGTGTAATATCCCAAGAAGTCTACACATTATGAGTCTTTTCTGGGTTATGACTTTTAGTATATTAGATAAAAATGACTTCCAATGTCACAGTGGGTATATACCCATGTGTGTCCATTTTGTGATATTATCCATCATATCCTAAGTAGGTATTTCTCTCACAATGAAAGAAGGTGTACACTCTGTGATTGTTCCAATATTATAGGCAAAGTGCAACGCTTCTGTGATGTAGTTCCTAATATCCCAGGGACAGAGGATGAGTATACTCTTAATATTGCAGGAAGTGTACACCACCACTGTAGTATTGTTTCTAATATCCAGAAACTAAAAGGATATTACTCCAAATATCTCCAAAAGCACACAAGATCCCCGTTACATTGTTCTTAATAACTAGGGGATTACAGATGACATTGCTCACGATGTGACTGGTGCTGTAAGCCGGTCCTGTGATATTCTTCCTAATATCCAGATAAAGAGAGAAAAATGTTGCTGCCCATAGAGAAATATTCTGAATACTGCAAGAGATGTACACTGTGCTCTGATATGGTCACTAATGTAAACAAGAAAACAATTATATTGAATTAAACATTGCAAGGAGTGAAACCCTCCTATGCTTTCAATTCTAATGTCAATGGGGTGAGGATGACATTTTTGTCAATATGCCAAATGTGTAACTAGAACTATTGCCTAATATGTAAAGAACCACAATAACATTATCATTTCTGTGTGATAGGTTGCCAGTATCATATTACACCACATTTTCAAAATAGCCGGGCCCCAGAAGCTGTGGGCACAGCGCCCTAGGCAGGGGGTCCCTAAGCAGCCAGCGTGGGCCTGGTAGCTGTTATGGGCCCTCTGGCGGGGGCTGTGGGTACAACCCCCTAGCCAGGGGATCTTTAAGCAGCCAGGGTAGGCATTGAGGCTGCTACGAGCACAACTGTAGTAATAGCCTGCTGTGCATAGGTATGTAGTTTGCACCTATTTCTGCATGTGTACATTGTTTAAATAGTAGGCACGTATTTGTATACGTGTACATACGGTGTTATCATGATACATATATATTTTCATAATATGTGCACTATACATATGTACCTAATACATACCTAATGTGTACAACACGTACTTTTTGGTGATATTACACGACATATATGTATTAGTGTGATTATATATCTTACTGTGATTATATATATTTTATCACTGATATTTTAAGGAATGTGCATAGTGTACACATTATGTACCTATGCATTGTGTACACATTATAGAAATACATAGGTACATATTTTACAGATTATGTACATTTTTTGTACATGTGCATTGTGTACACCTATGTACAGCAGAGTACATGTACAGATTGTGCCTATTTAATACATTTATCACAATACGACAATAAACGTACACACTATGACTACATTCTGGGATTTTATATTTAGTATATTAGATAGAAATCTCTCCGGTTACCAAAGTGGGTATACACCTATATGTGTACCTAGTATATACGTGTACATATTGTACATACTGTGTACTCCTGTACAGAAGGTACATATCTACATTATATGAACATATGTGTAGTGTACATATGTACATACCGTGCACACTTGTGTACACGTGTATATACCGCAAATCTGCACCTGTGCATGATGTACATGTGTACATATCGTAATATCACAATAAATGTAAATGTATATGTGTGCAATATGTACATTTATATTGATATTATGTATTATATGTGTATTGTGAGTATATATGCTGTTGTGATTATATAAAATCATTGTAATATTACAATATATTTACATATTGTACACATTATGTACATACCTACTGTGTACACATTATGTACATATAAATGTACATATTGTACAGATTATGTATTTTTTGTACATCTGTATTGTGTACACATATGTACATCACAGTCAATGTACATATGGTACATATTTTATACGTTGATTGTAATATCCCAATAAGTGTACACATTATGAGTATATTCTGGGATATGATTTATAGTATATAAGGAAAAAGTTACTTCCAATATCAATGTGGTTATACTCGCATGTGTGTCCATTTTGCTGTACCTTCTATTAATCTTTGCCATTGAACATGATAGTGAGAGGTGGTTCTTTTCTCTAACAAGGTTTTCTGTTAATATAACTCAACTCTACTACCTTGTGGCCTCTGTATCTTCCATTGTAAATTGTAATTACCTATAAAAGAGAATATTTTGACATCACGTATCTACCTCTTGGATCCATCAGCCAGAGGCCTAAAATAAAAAAGACATTCACCCCACGAATGGTCATATAGTGGTTGACAACCTCACTTTCTTCTAGGTAAATAATATCCTCTCTTTAACAGTAGCTACTTACAAGATTTGTGCATAAAGAATGTGACTTTTTTATCAGTATCTAGTTTATTCTTACATAAATTTCTAAAATACTGAGAGAATATTCTGATCATTGGTTATGTACTATTTTAATTTAATTTTTTCCTCTCAAATTTTATCTTAACTGCATACTCTACCCTGTTTATAAGACTGCCTTATGGTTAAATTTAGTAGGTAGTAAATTATCCTGAGCACACAGAACAATTATTTTTGTAATCAACTCTGAAACATCATTGAAAGAGCAAGGATATGGGAATTAGATTTATCTGGCTTTTATTTCTGGTACTTACTTGCTCTCTGACCTTGGGCAACTTATGTATTGCTCTGAGTCTCATCTTCTTCATCTGTAAAATGATCATAGTAATACCTAATTCATATGCAGCTTGGAAATGTGTAATTTAGTGATTTATATAAAGTTCCTGATACAATTCCTGACCAAATAATAGACACCCCACGAGAGATAACCATAACAATCAGAGTTTATATTCACATTAACTGGGATAAAATTGATCTGAAAATACAGCATAAAAAAGCAGCCAAAAATTCACAAGCATATATTTCGCTTGCCTTTTTATACAGAGCTGGAAAATTTCTCATCATTATCTCATCAATTGCCTGCAGCACGATCCTTCCAAAACTCCTCCTAAGACCGTCTGCCAAGGTGGAACACACTGAACCGCATGTGACTCTGCCTTTTCTGACTATTTTTGCAAGATTTTTCTCATAGAGTATTATCAACAGAAAATGGGGCTGTTATCAAGGTGACTAGGAATGGTGCATTCTCAGTTCAGGCTCTGATGGAATGTCTACTTGATCTGGTGCAACTCCAGCTGTGCTCTTGGCTTTCCTCACTTTTGTGGTTCCGAGAATGCAAATATTCTCCCGTGGCTTCCTGATTTTGTCTTTCTCCATGAGGTCTCATTCAAGTATAAACATTCCCTTCAATTTTCTCAACTCATTTTATATTGTCTGAATAACCTTGATAATTTCCCCTTTCCTAAAGCTATAGACCTTCTTTTTGTGTGTAAGAACAGATTACTTACAAATGTTTACTGTCCGCTAAACATTTATTTGTAATCAGTCCTTAATTCTACACACAAAATATCATCTCTACCAATATTTTACAACTATAGTCTTTCTATAGAAAACTATGAAAGGAACTTGCTCTAAAGGAGAAACTTCCAGAGCTAAACCAAGGGTCTGACAATTTTTAACAATATGTTATTCAGTAAAAATATTTTTTCAGTTAACAGAGAAGAATGCCATGGACAAAATGGCAAAACAGAACTTTTCAGCACTTATTCCTTCACAGAAACATCAATTTGAACAGCCATCCGTGCATCAAAGTGTCTTCAAAAGAGACAAGGAATCCAGGTGAGAGGTTATAGCACGTTTGTGGAGTAGAAAAGTAAGAAAAACTGCATAAAATAGAGTATAAAAGAGAGTTTTATATTATCTGCATTACCCTGCCCCTAAACCTGGGTAGTGCAGCATGGAAAGAGATACTATGTATGTGCAGAGAGGAGAGTAAATGTAACACCTGACTTCAACATCAACTCCAATGCCAGGCACAATTCAGTGAACTCAACACCAGGCAGGTTTCTGTAGCCACAGGCTATGGGACAGACCCTGTCAACCCAAGCTCCAGGCCTTCCCCTATGGCTCTAAGATCTAATGCCTCCAACCTCCATGGCTCCTATCGACATAGGCTCCAGGCCTTCGCCACAACCAGGCCATTTATGGCTTCCCCAGGCTCCACACTGGTTACTATAGACTCGTAAGTGCCTGGATAAACAAACCTCTACATCGACACAGTGGAATATTATTCAGCAATGAAATCAATAATCTTTGAATGTGGCTTTTGTTGCAGAAAAAAAGCATGTGAGCTATGAAGCCATTAAAAGGCATAGAGGAAACTCAAATACATACTACTAAGTGAAAGAAACCAATCTCAAATGACCACTTACTATATGAATCCAACTATATGACATTCTGGAAAAGGCAAAACTATAGAGACATCAAAATGTTCAGTGATTGCTGGGGGTTGAAAAGTGGGGAAGGATAAATGGGCAGAGCATAGAGGATGTTTAGGGCAATGAAACTACTCTGTGTGTTACTATAATGGTAGACACATGCCATTACACCCTTGTCAAAACTCACTGAATATACGACAGCAAGAATGGTCCCTAATGTCAATTATAAACTATGGGTGACAGTGATAAGCCAATGTTGGTTCATCCATTGTAACAAATGTACCTCTCTAGTGAGGAAGGCTGATAGTGGAGGAGGCTGTGCATTTGGGGAGGTGGGAATGTAGGAACTCTCTGTACTTTCCACTATGCCTCACTATTAACTTTACACTGCTCTAAAAATAAAGCGTATTTTAAAAAAGATTGAGCTGTTGATATAAGCCCAATGTCTACTTTGACGTCCAGAAATGTTTCTTTTAAAACGCTAATACACCACCTCCTGGAAGAAAATATTTGTTAACAAACTCTTTTCTAGAACAATTATTTTTGTGGGTGTTCCTGTCACAACTATACATAAAAATCAGAATATGCAGCAACATCTTGATACTCTAAAAACACAATACCAAAAACGTTAAGAAAATCATTTCTAAATTTGATCTAAGCCAAAATGTGGAGAAGCAAAAGGGAAGAAAATTATTTCTGTATAATGAGATTATAGGTTGTTTCTCCGAACTCCTCTACAGTTTTCAGTATTTTCCAACTTCTATCATGGAGATATATAAATATATAAGTAGATATGTAGATATATAGTCATTAGATATATATTTATATATAATAAATAAACAGATACCATTTTATTTTTTATTATTTATTTATTTATTTATTTTTTGAGACGGAGTTTCGCTCTTGTTTCCCAGGCTGGAGTGCAATGGCGCGATCTTGGCTCACCGCAACCTCCGCCTCCTGGGTTCAGGCAATTCTCCTGCCTCAGCCTCCTGAGTAGCTGGGATTACAGGCACGTGCCACCAAGCCCAGCTAATTTTTTGTATTTTTAGTAGAGACGGGGTTTCACCATGTTGACCAGGATGGTCTCGATCTCTTGACCTCGTGATCCACCCGCCTCGGCCTCCCAAAGTTCTGGGATTACAGGCTTGAGCCACCGCGCCCGGCCTACAGATACCATTTTTAAAAGATGTATTTATGTATTTTATATATTTATATAATATATACATGTTCATATATACATCATGTTATCACCATTATGGATATAAAGGACATTAAAATAGTGAAAAGATTAAAATAAAATGTACCAAAATGGAAACAGTAATTTAACTCTGCCTAGCTTTATGTGATTAAACAAGGTATTTTTCAAATCTATTTTTCTTTGCTTTCTAGAGGCTTTATAATAAATCTATATTTTTATATTTAAAAGCCTAATTTTTATTAAACAAATAAAAATTCAGCAACACTGTCTTTAGAACATTTTTTAAATCAACGTGAGCATGAAGAAGATGTTATGACTATGGTGGTGAGCATTTTGAAAGATTAGCAGAAGCAGGGATAATGTGACATCTAGCTGATCTTTCAAGGGAAGCTAGACAAATGACACTTTTCGAAAAGAAAATAGTAACTAGTGTTGAAACATGGTACTGCCAGAATGATTAAGAAGGAAAGTGTCAACTTCTTCTGTGGAAAATCCTAACATTACCAAACGTAAGAAGGCAAATACTTCAACAACAGAAATGAAAAATATCTTGATTCATTTATTTAACACTTTTTTAGAGTTTAATCCCAAAAAGCCTATTTTGAAGAAAAGAAAAAATCTTACTCGTGTATATTACCCTTTGCAGTGAACTGGCCAAATAAGTCAATCCAAGGTACGTTGAATACCGAGCATGCTGGAAACATTTTTATTGACATCATCTCTAATCCCTACAACAATAGTGCAAGGAAAGGTTTAACATCTTCTTTTTACAGAGAGGAAAGCTGAGGCTCAAAGAGATAGAGTAGCTCATTTAACATTACACATCTAATACGTGGTGGAGGTGGGACCTATACTTACATCTGTGAGACCTTAAAGTCTGTGTTCTTCTTTCTACCTCTCTGCCTCAGTCCAACAATTGGGATCTTTGCCATGATGCCTCACGAGTTCACGAGGCACTTTTCAGGAAGTTTTTGACTCAGACTTTATCACTCAGCAAGATACCTCAACTAATTTACAAAATGTGACTTGAAAAGCAGGTTGTAATTACAAAAGCAAAAATCCAACCACAAAAGATAAAGTCTTAATCAGTAGAGCTTTACAGAAGGAAGTAATGTAGGTAGTAAGGGCACTTTCGGAAATGTCTGGAATTAGAGGAGTCAATGTATCACCTGTTAGAAACTGTACTCGCTTGGTAGCAAAATTTTCCTTGTGTTCACTTAAAATAATAGTCTTGTTGTTTTAAAACCAACGCACAGTCAGAGGGTGACTTGGATGTTTATTTTTTATTCTCTTTGCCTTCTTGTTTTAAGAATGGATTTTTCCTAAATTCTAATTATTATTGTAACTTACATAAGTGCAGCCGATTTTGCTTTTAAGGATAAAACTACATTTAAGTAGCTTTGTCTGGATTATCAAAACCAGGCCCTGAAGAAGTGAGTTCCTAAAGGGTAGGAACTTTGCTTATGTCTATATCTCAGTTGTGTTAATCAGAATAACAGGCGCAAATTAGCAAATGATGCACTGAGAAATCATAGAACAAAAGACTTTATGAAGAACTAAGTTTCAGATTCAGGGTGACGCTAAGGAGCTAGTGTACCAGAGGATGGTATGCCTTCTGCAATCACAAAAGCAGCATTCAGTCTGATCTTGGCTCTAAGAAGTGCTCCTTGAGACCTGAAATTTTATCCTAACACTGCCACTAACAGGTTAAGTCAGAAAGAGTTCAATTCCCAGAGCTTTCGATTTCTGGTTTCCAAATCAGCACAATGAGAAACTGAAAAGGAAAGAGGAAAAAAAGAGAGGGTCAGAGATCCCTCCTGCTTGTACAATGCCATGATTTGGACACAGGGTTTGGGCAACCATGGCCCATCCACCAATTCCTGCCTGTCGTCTCTTGTCAGACAGCTCATGAGCCACGAATGTGAAAGAATTCAAAAAAGTAACAATATTTTGGGACATGTCAACAATTATATAAAATGCAATTTTCAGTTCTCATAAAAGTACTTTGGAACTCAGCCCCTCTCCTTTATTACCCATTTCTATGGCTGCTTTCACACCACAACCACAGAGATGAGTAGCTGTGACAGAGACCATATGGGCTGCCAAGCCTAAAATATTTACTGCCTAGACCTTTCCAGAAAAAAAAAAAAGGATTGCTGATCTTTTACACAGACAATCAAGCAAGGGATCACCTGAGAACATTAAAATCTGTGTCTAGGACAAATGGGGCCTATATAAACTAGGGAATAATCTTCCCCACTACTTATGCAAGAACATTCACCCTTGAGAGAGCAGGCTACATGGCTTGGCAGCACTACTGCCACCAGTCCAGACTTCCCCTCACCTGTGTTCTATAAGTGACCAGCATTTCTAGGCATCCGTGGAGCAGCGGGGTGCATTCTCATGGCTGGCCCTACACCTTCCCTTCCTCCTGCTTCCTCACATTCTCTTTTCTGAGTGGTTGTCAAAGGAACGCTGAATTTTGCTGTCACTTTTTCAGACCCCAATTCCACTTATGACAGTCTTGGTACCAGGAAGCATTCCAAGCTCCTATCTCATCACCACAACCGCCTGCTTCTCACTTAGTCCAGACGAGCTTGCCACAGTGCACTTGCTTTTTAATCGCTCTCTCTCTTCTTACCTTCACCTCCTCTCCCTCCCTCTCTCCCTGGCTCTTTCTGTCACACGGGTGTGTGCACATACACAAGTTCCGATTAGATAAAAGAAGAAACACTTTTTAAGTTTCTTTCTAGGCCTAATAGAAAATTATTATTATTATTATTATTTTTACAAAAACAGAGCTGTTTTATTCTATTTCAAAAGTGTGGGTGTCCTTCCTTAGAGTAACAATCATTTTCTACATGGCCTTCTGACACATTGCATGTTGTACATATGTGTGTGTGCACATGTGCATATGAGTGTTAGAGTATGTGTGTGTAGCAGGGAGGAAAGAGATGAAGGAGAGTGTGTATGTGCATGTTGGTTCATATGAGTGTGAGTGTGTGCATGTAGGTGCCTGTGTGCGTGCACATGTGTATGAGCATGCTTGTATTTGCGTATGAGAATGTGCATGTGAGAGAGAAAGAATGCGTGTATGTGTGAATGTGTATGTGTGTGTGTATAGCAGGGAAGAAGGGGATGAAGGACAGTATGCTAAAAAGCGAACACCTCAGAACAGTCAAATAAAAGATTCCATATCAACATCATATCTTGTTAAAATACAGGATTCCCAAGTCAGTCACCTTCAAGCTGGAAGCCTGGAGTGTAAAAAGAGTGGGTGTTCTTCTCTGACAACTTATTGTCTAAGACAATTTTATGATCAAAAATATATTCGAATAAAAGTACCTGAGAAAAGTACATAAAGAGAATATAACAAAATGTTAACAATGGTGTTCTTTGGGTGAGAGGAAGAAGAGGCAGGTTGTGGTTGATCTGTTTCTTTTAGTTTAACTATTCTGCATTCCTCACTTTTAAATTTTGGATATTAAGCTGGAGAGAAAGAACATGAATATCAAGATGAATTCGCTGAATGGAGCAACAAATGCTGAGTTAGCCAAAAATGTATGGCTACCTTCTATATCTAATTTTCTGAGGGCAAATCAGAAAACACCACTTTCAGAAATTTTTTTTTTTTTTTTAGAAATGAAATTTCGCTCTTGTTGCCCAAGCTGGAGTGCAATGGCACAATCTCGGCTCACCGCAGCCTCCGCCTTTTGGGTTCAGGCAAATTTCCTTCCTCAGCCTCCTGACTACCTGGGATTACAGGCACGCACCACCATGCCCAGCTAATTTTTTGTATTTTTAGCAGAGACAGGGTTTCACAATGTTGACCAGGATGGTCTCGATCTCTTGATCTTGTGATCCACCCACCTCGGCCTCCCAAAGTGCTGGGATTACAGGCTTGAGCCACCGCACCCAGCCAGAAATTTTTTAAAATGTGTTTTACGTTATTTTCCCTTTCAGCCTAAGGACTAAAAATTGAACACAACTGGATCTGCGCCATTGCCTCAAAGATTCTTAGCCTAGTTCAAGATCCATTGTCTGGACACTCCTGCTTTTTAGACAGAAAACAGGGCTAAATTCCTATTGACTTCCAAATACACACCCACAGATTTGTCACAGTAGCCTCTCTCTCTCACCCTGTCTCTGTCCGTCTGAGTCTCTCTTTCTTTCTCTTTCTCTTCCCTCACATCATCCCCAAATCAGAATGCATATATAAAAATTTGATTAACTGAAACATAGAATGATTAAGATTTTGCTACGAGAGAAATACACAGACTTCAGCTAAGATGTTTGGTTGAATACCTGCATATGCCTTCACTCCATCATTAAACCACATTAACACGGGATGATTAAAAATAAATAAACCAACAAAGATAAAAAGAAAATAAAGACAATCCCTTCAGCATATAGAAAACTGGCAAGCAGAAGCTGTCAGTGACACCTGACAGTAGACCCAGAGATGCTAAATCCCAAGCTAGTGGCAGGAAGGCAACCAGGATCCCCAAGGGTTCAAGAATTGGCAGCTAAATTTACCTAGGGAATTTATGTTTCAGTAGTAGGTAGATCCCAGATCCTCTCCCTAGAATCGGTGACTGCATCCCACGGTGGTGGCAGGGTGGAGGTTTCCTCTCTATAGGGTAAAATTTGGTGTCTCTATGCAGGAGCTCTCTAGACACAAGTGCTTAAATGTACACACTGAACACTGAGATCCTCCAGGTTTTCCTACCACTGAGTTCCAATGAGGGTGGCAGATACTTGGTCAGAAGTTAAGATGATTTTTATCTAGAGAGAATCTCTCTTGCTCAAGAAGAAAAGGTCTGACCCAGCAAGACCACCGCCCACAAAATGTTACAATCACAGAACTTCCATCAGCTTTTAGCTTTTCAGTGCTCCATTTTTTTCTAACAGACACAGACAGCTAAGGGTCACCAGGCATCTGAGCAAAGCTTCGAACATGAATGGCTGAGACCAGAGCAAGAAGACACATAAATGCAGCCTGAATGAGGACTGTGCTAGGAGATAAGACCTTCTGAAACACATATGAATGTTCTCGAAGAGATAAAAGTGTTACCATTTTCATGAAACAAGAACCAAATTTAAAGAAAAAGTAAACGCTTAGAAATTAAAAATATGACAGCAGAACTTGTGAAAAATTCTTGTTAGAATAGTAAGACAACAAAGTTGAGTAGATGAACCTTATGTCTTCCAGAAATAGCGATAAGAAAAAAGTTGAAATCCGGAAGAAAATTTGAACAGGTTCAACACTAAAATGATCAGAATTCCAAAGATAGAAATAGAGACAGACAGAGAGAGAGAAAAAGAACAGACACACGCAGCAAATAAGAAAGAGAGAGATAAACCCTAACACAGTAATTGCTGGAGACTACAACACCCAACTTTCAGCACTGGACAGATCTTCCAGACAGAAAACCAACCAATCAACATGAAATTTAATCTTTACCATAGACCAAATGGAACTGATATTCAAGGAACATTTCATCCAATGACTGCAGAATACACATTTTTTCAACTCAACACATAGATCATTCATAAGTGTAGAAGATACCTTAGGTCACAAAGCAAATGCAATCACATTTGAAATCAGGACTAAGAAATTCATTCAAAACCATACACTTACATGGAAACTGAGTCACTTGCTCCTGAATGACTCCTGGGTAAATAATGACATTAAGGCAGAAATCAAGAAGTTTAAGAAGTTCTTTGAAAGTAATGAGAACAAAGGTATAACTTACCAGAGTTTCTGGGATGCAGCTAGTCAAGTAGTGTGGAGAGAAATTTATAGTACTAAATGCTCACATCAAGAAGTGAGAACTCGGGACAGCTGCGGTGACTCACTCTTGTAATCTCAGCACTTTTGGAGGCCAAGGCGGGCAGATTACAAGGTCAGGAGTTTGAGACCAGCCTGACCAACATGGTGAAACCCCATTCTACTAAAAATACAAAAATTAGCTGGTGTTGTGGCACATACCTGTAATCCCAGGTACTCAGGAGGCTGAGGCAGGAGAACTGCTTGAACCCAGGAGATAAATGTTGCAGTGAGCCCATATCACACCACTGCACTCCAGCCTGGTTGAGAGAACAACACTCCATCTCAAAAACAAAATTGAGATCTCAAGTTAACTACCCAACATCACAATTAAAAGAATTAGAAATCCAAGAGCAAAGAACACCCTCAAAGCTATGCTGAATGGGAGTGGGGAGAGAGGGCATCTTTATCTTGTGCCAATTTTTAAGGGGAATGCTTTCAGCTTTTGTCCATTCAGTATGATGCTGGCTGTGGTTTTTGTCACATGTGGCTCTTATTATTTTGAGGTATGTTCCTTCAATACCTGGTTTATTGAGAGTTTTTAACACACATGAAAGTTGAATTTTATCAAAAGCTGTTTTTGCATCCATTGAGATAATCATGTGGGTAATTTTTTTCTTTAGTTCTGTTTATGTGACGATGACATTGATCAATTTGCATATGTTAAACCAAACTTGCATCTCAGGGAGGGTGGTTGTGACCAGGAATTTATCAGTTTCTTCTAGATTTCTCAATTTTTTCAGGTTCAGTGGCTCACATCTGCAATCCCAGAACTTTGGGAGGTCAAGGTGGGTTGATCACCTGAGATTGGAAGTTCAAGACCAGCTGGATCAACATGGAGAAACCCCATGTCTACTAAAAATACAAAATGAACCAGACATGGTGGCACATGCATGTCATCCCAGCTACTCAGGAAGCTGAGGCAGGAGAATAGCTTGAACTCAGGAGGCAGAGGTTGCACTAAGCCGAGATCTCACCATTGTCCTCCAGCCTGAACAACAAGCATAAAACTTCATCTAAAAATTAAAGAAAAAAAAGTGCCTACAGTTGTACATCATATTCTCTGAGGGTGGTTTGTATTTCTGTGGGGTCAGTGGTAATATTGCCCTTATTGTTTTTGATGGTGGTTATTTGAATCTCCTCCCTTTCTCCTTCATTGGTCTAGCTTCAAGTTTATTATTTTTTAACCAGTATGATTTTAATAGACCAGTTACTGGGTAGTAAATTGAAACATACAGAGTGCCATCTCCAAGAGCAGTCATGATTTCATTTGGGTTCTTGAAAAATGTTAAGAAGTAGGTTGAGTTTTATTATTTTTTTCAGAAAACCAGCTTTTGAAAAATTTATGTGGAACCAAAAACAGCCAAGGCAATCCTAAGCAAGAAGAGCAAAGCTGGGAGCGACATGCTACCAGACTTCAAACTGCATTACAGGGCTACAGGAAACAACGGCATAGTACTGGTACAAAAACAAACACATAGACTAATGGAACAGAATAGAGAATCCAGAAACAAAACCAAGCTTCTACAACTATCTGATCTTTGGCAAACTTAACGAAAACAAGCAAGGGGGAAAAGATTCTCCCTATTCAATAAACGATGCCGGGATAACTGGATAGCCATAGGCAAAAGACTGAAACTAGACCCCTTCTTTACATTACATACAAAAATTTGCTCAAGATAGATTAAACACTGATATGTAAAACCAAAAACTAGAAAAGCTCTGCAAGACACGAGACAATGCCATTCAAAACATAAGCACAGGCAAAGATTTCATCATGAACATGCCAAAAGAAAAGGTAGCAAAAACAAAATTGAAAACTGGGGTCAAATTAAAATGAGAAACTTTCACACAGCAAAATAAACTAACAACAGAGAAAACTGACAACCTACAGAATGTGAGAAAATGTTTGTAAACTATGCATTCCACAAAAATCTAATATCAAACATCGGTAGGGAAATTAAATTTACAAGAGGAAAACAAACAACCCATAAAAAGGTGGGCAAAGAACATTAACAGACACTTTTAAAACAAGACATATATGCAACAAGCAATCATATTAAAAAAAGATCAACGCCACTGATTATTAGAGAAATGCAAATGAAAATTATAATAAGATACCATCTCACACCAGTCATAATGGCAATTATTATAGCAAAAAAAAAACACATACTGGCAAGGTTAGAGAGAAAAACAACACTTACACACTGTATTCGGGAATGCAAATTAGTTCTGCCATTGTGAAAAAGTGTCATGATTCCTCAAAGACCTAAAGAGTGAAATACAATTTGATTCAGCAAAACTAGTAATGGGTTACTAGGTATGTACCCAAAGGAATATAAATCCTTCTGTTATAGAGAAATGTGCACGCATATGTCCATGGCAGCACTGTTCACAATAGCAAAAATATGGAATCAAGCTAAATGCCCATCAATGGTAGACTGGATAAAGAAAATGTGGTACATATACAACAAAAAACATTAGGCAGCCACAAAAGAATGTGATCATGTTCTCTTCAGGGACATAGATGAAGCTGGAGACTATTATTCTTAGCAAACTAATGCAGGAACACAAAATCCAAATACCAGATATTTTCACTTGCAAGTGGGAGCTAAATGATGAGAACACAGGAACATACAACAGGCGGAAGAACAACACACACTAGAGCCTTTCAGAGATTGGAGAATGAGAGAAGGAAGAAGATCAGGAAAAACAACTAAATGGGACTAGGCTTAATACCGGAGTAATGAAATGATCTGTACAACAAACCTCATGACAGACTTTACCTAAATAACAAACCTGTGCTTGAAACTTTGAACTTAAATAAAAGTTAAAAAAAAAAAAGGCAACTTCTCAAGTTGAATCATATAACCTCCTAGGTTTAAACACATGAACACAAACTCACACCAAGGAACATTGTCTTGAACATCTGCATTATATGACAAAGGAAAACAGCTCTCCTAAGTTTTCAGAAAAGTTTTTTAAAAAACAGTATTTACAAAGAATCAAAAATCAGAATGATTTCAGGCTTCTCAACAGCACTACCAGAAGCTGGGAAATAATGGAGTAGTATCTTTAAAACTTGAATGGAAAATTATTTTCAATCAAAAATTCTATGCCCCACCAGTCATGTAAGTGTAAGAAGAAATAAAGTCATATTTCAGAACAATTTGCTTCAGTGTATCCTTGCTTGAATAAGTTACTGGAGGATACAGTCCACAAACAAGAGATTCAGGGCACGGGGCAGTGCAAAACAACAGAGTGGGTTTGTATTTGTATTTAAAAGACAGCAGCATTCGAGAGTTAGGGAATATTGGAGGAGGAGTTTTCTCCAGCATCCCTGGAGCCCACACCTCTCATTTCCACATTCCTATGTCCCATTGCTGCCCATGAATTCTGATCACCTATTCCTTTGATAGAGGTATTTCTCTCACTGATTAGCTGTAGTCAAGTGGCTCTTTCTTGGGCTACAGGAGGAAATCTATTGCTTTTCATTAAACATCAATTTGATTAACCTAGGCTTAAGGTCAGCATTATGCCATCAGCTGTACGTCCTTGGGAAGACATCTACTCACAAACTGGTTAAAGAACGTGGCCCTCCTACCTCTGACTTGTGTGATTCTAAGCAAGCTATTTAGCACCCTCTCATCTGTGAAACAAACAAAGTTCTTATCTTGGGCTCCACAAACAGAAAGTGTTGAACAAGAACAGTTTCTTCTCCTCCAAGGCCAGACCATATGGAGGACCCTAAGACAGCCACAGCCTTGGTCAGTAGGCTTGGTCAGTAGACACAGGGTTCAAATTGCACCATTAAAACTGTGGCCAAACGTTTGCTCTGCCTCTGAGTCGCTCACTGTCATAAGGCTCTACCAGTTCCCATTCCAGATAGGAAGTGGGCTTTTGTTGGTTTTTGTTGTGTTTTTTAAGAGATAAAGTCACCCAGGCTGGAGTACAGTGGCATGACCATAGCTTACTGCAGCCCCAAACTCCTGAGCTCAAGTGACCTTTCTGCCATGGCCTCCTGAGAGAAGCTGGGCCAACAGGGCAGCAGGTATGCATCCCCACACACAGTAATTGTTTTTTTGAGAGATGGGGTACGGCTATGTTGCCCAGACTACTCTCAAATTCCTGGCCTGAAGCAATTTTCCCATATTAGCCTCCTAAATTTCTAGGATTACAGGTGTGAGCCACTGTGCCCAACAGGTGTTCTAAATGCAATTTCCACACTGCTATTCTGAAGAAGGGCAAGAAGCAAAGAGACCCTCCTTGAAACATAGAAAATTAAAGCATTCACTATTAAGTGGAGGCAGAGTTGATGATCAGCCAAAACTACTTCAACTGTAATCCAGAAGTTTCACTGATACAGGAGTTCTAAAGAAATTATTTAGTCAGAGATTGAAAGTAAGGAAGTCTTTGGTAAGGTTTCCCTTTGAATAAAAAGCAGCCCCAAAACCATTTCTAACAAAGAGCGGCCTGTAAAATCGAGCTGCAGACATAGACAAGCAAGCTGGAAGCTTGCACAGGCGAATGCCAGCAGCTGTAACAATAGGAGGCTACTTGGGTGCCAGGCATGCTCAACCTGACGGCTTTATCTTCCTTTTTCTTTATCAACCACAAGTGCAGTAAGGGACAGACAACATGCACTGGCCAAGTAGAAAACCTATATGCATAAGAAGATTCGGGTGGATAGCCAGCTTCTTCACGAGCTATGTAAAGCTCTCACCTGGTCCAACCCATATTTGGACCCTATGTAAATCAAACACCACCTCCTCAACAAGTCTATAAAACCTTGTGCAGTTCACCAGAAAACCAGAAAACACACCCAGAAGCCCCCCTCTCTCTCTGCAGAAGAGAGATGTTCTCTTTTCTTTTGCCTGTAAAACCTCCATTCTTAACCTCACTCCATGTGTATTCACGTCCTTGATTTTCTTGACATGAGGCAATGTGCCTTGGGTATTACCTCAGATGGACAATGCTGCTTCATCATAGTTCTGTTTTGTTCAGGTTGTGGGACAAACGGCCCCTTTCCTCTGCAACCTCAGCTCAACCTTACTCAGGCCTCCTTCCAGCAGAATCACATAGCCAAATGAAACCCCTTAAGTCTTCTTTTAAATTGGCAGCCGCTCCAAAGAAAGCAGCATGATGAGTTTCAGGTGGCCCGGGGTGGGGGCAGTGCTACTCTGGCTTCTCCGTGCTCAGTCCCTCTCAGTTCAAAAGCGCACCACGTGGAGCAATAGAACACCTGCTCATCTGAGTTTTAAAAATAGTGGGAGGAAAAGCGCTATCTTCATGCTTATTTCCCTGGCAGAGGGGAGGTCATAAAACACTAATTTCTAAGCAGTGGACCAGAGTTTTACTGATCTCTTCTGTTACTTACTCATGTTTACCCAGAGAAACCACATCACAAATCTGAGTCTCCTCTGGCAAGAGAAGGAATCGGATTCATGATTCTCTCGGCCCCCTTTCC